CCATTCTATATTACAATCAACATTATCTTCACATCAAAAACAAACTCTACAAACTATAGTCATCAAGGTTTGTATTGGCTAAATCTTAACTGATATTTTTTAGTTATAACTTGGACTTTCAGTTCCTAGCTTATTTTTATGTAGTATTTTTACAGTGAATGAATTTAAGATAAAGCTTTAGTCAGTTTCCCAATTTGGAAATTCATATTTTCTTTTGTAGATGAAAACCACTGGAATAGATCCTCAGTTAATATACGATGTAACAGAATTTCTTATGGATTAACATGTCAGTCACTAGAGTAATAGTTGACATGACAGATGAGTACTCATAATGAAGAAATCATGAAAGGGCTAGGTCGAAATGCCCCAATCAGAAACAATGTAATAAATAATAAGAATACAAAATTTATTTATTTTAATATTTTGGATTTGCTTTTAACATTTGCAGGAGATTTATATATTTCACGTTTAGCAGTTGAGTCTCTCATTAAACTTGGTTTATGTTCTAGTTTTAACTTTTTATTACTTCTTGTAACATGTACTATTGGTGAATTTTCTTTTACTGTGTTCTTGACCTCTTTCTACAATACAAATTATAACAATTCAATGTTAAATTTATTTCAACATGTTCTGGTTAGTATGTTTTTAGGTAGAATCGAGACAGTTGTATCAAAATATTTAAATTGGCTAAGTCTTATGGATATATACAGAGAATGCCTGACTGCCTTAGTACCAACAATCATTAAAAACAATGTAGATAAAAATACAACTACAAATTCTTGTGCATTAAAAATCAATAAAAGGGTGAAATCAAATTACATAAATGTAAAAAGAGAAATAGTAATTGTTGTTTCATTTGCATTAATTCATTTTGAAAATAGTCAGATTTTCAAATTTGTGCACCACCTGCAACATAAATTGGAACACTGATAATTAAAAGAAAGGTGAGAAAAATAATCCACAGCAGATGGGTTCCCTTTTTTTTCATTTATTAAATTGCTAATACTTAAATGAATAGAAAGTAGAGATGTTCTAATGACTTGGAAAAATACCAGTTTGTCTTAATAATTCATAATTAGCTAAATTGGAAGAGAATTACCAATGTGTGACTGATCAAGAAAGGTCAAAAAGTCTTTTGTTGATCCAGACTGTACATGGACATTTATGATTGGTTAAAACTCTTAATTATATGCAATAAGAACACAATGATATGTTTAAAAATACATGATAATTCATTAAAAACACCAATTAATCAAATAGTTTGACACTAAAAAACAAGGTAACCCATCTTTAAATATATTAACTCACTTGAAATTTAGACTTCTTATTTAAATCTGTAACCTCCATATCACTTTCTTCTGATGAACTGTCAGAGTCACTGTCTGGTTTATGGGGAGTTTTCACTGTATCCTTCTTTACTCTACTCATATCATCTAACTCATTTTCAGAATCACTACCATCACTTTCTGAGTCACTATTATTGTGATTAGCTTCAATGTGAGACCCTTTTCTAGATATCACAAAATCACTTTCACCTTCTTCCATAGCTTCAATACTGAAATATTCATTTATTAGATGACAATATATCACTCAGCATTACATTGCACGACGTCTTCATATCTTAACAACTTAACATGTTACAGAATTATTGATCAAAATGTTATATCAAGCCTAAAGAATTTTTAAAAAATTTACCTTTGAGAAGGGTTATCATCAATACGACCCATACAAGTCCAGGTATAGTCTACAAACATTGACTGTTGTAATAATCTGTTCATTCTCTTAAAATGACGATCTAAAATACAGTGAAGTTATAACATGTAAAATCATACTGTAGTAGTTAAATACACAAGCAAACATATATTTCTATATCTGTTGTTCCATTTTTCTAGAACACTTTCTTCAAACCTCATGATCTCTAGTGTTGAAACGGTTAATCAGTTTAACTGTCAATTTCATATGAAAGTATAAAAGAGAGCAATTTTGACAGAAATTTCTTCACTGTATGAGTCTTTAGGCTGTTTTCTTTAGTAAATAAACATCTTTAGTGATTGAATAATTGAGATTAATAAATCAAGATAGGGTATCAATTATCAAAACACTATTACTATTCCTCTAATTGGCTGTTTGTTTCTTCTTGCCTGTCAATCGGCTTCAAGCTTCATGAGTACGGATTTATTGAGACAATAGTTTTATACCAGTTGTGGAACCAGTACACTGATTCACAGCGACTTCAATGAGATACACTCATTACACTGACCCCACAATAACTGGTATAAAAACCTTTGATCTGTTAGAGACTGTAGCAATGAGTGACAATGGCGCCAGTCCATCTGAACTCTGTCAGGCCCACTAGTAATCTTACATTGAAGCGTTGTTTGGTATCAATTTGTACCGACAAATGGCGGGGAACTAGCCAAAATCTTCCTGGGTATTCATTTACACTTACTCTAGTTTAGGTAACGATGTGTTACCGCCGCAAGACCCCTTTCATAATCTTTAGTAATGAATCGCGGTTAACCGGGTAACAAATGGTTATTGCCGACGATTACCCAGTTTGTAAAATTCACTAACCGTTTCAACACTAATATGTGGACAACTCCATCCCTTAAATTCTTTAACCAAATAAAAGCTAATAATATGGGTATGGAAGCCTAAAACATACCTGTATATGAAAGTAAGCCCTCTAATGTGGACTGTATATTAGGAAACTCTATTAACTGATTAGGTGAGAAAGAGTTGAATATAACACCAATAATAAACTGAGCTTCTTGACAATGTTTACTATTAGTATTCCATGTTACTGCAAATCTTAATATAGCATCTGAAAAATTAATAGTGTTGTATTATATACAGATACAGTAGATACATCAACATTCTTTGTTTGGACAATTTGATATCCCAAAAAAATGAGATATATTTCACTGTTTGAGACCTACAGCTATTTATTTTGATCAAAATAAAAGTCAGATGTAAAGCTTTCTATGTACTTACCAACTTGATACATCTGTAATTTAGATAAAGTAATTTCTAATTCTCTAATACCTTCATTTTCTTTCAGTATTGCTGTAAACAGTTATATTGTATATTATGTAATCATTGAAACAGTGAACATCTTACTACCTGATAAGCATATAAACCAACTCTATTTCTTTTTTTAGAAAAGTATAAGACAGAGTAAATTGAGTTAACAGTTCATTGTTTTACTTGATTTAGGACCTTCGCAATATACCTTTAATAATAGATAAAACTTTGTAAGGTTGTTCCAATGTAATGGCTAAACTCAAAGCCTTAAGATATTTCTTCTTTTGAATTAAATTAGATAGTTGCTGTTCCCTGAAAAAAAAAATTTGATAGTATGAGATGTTTTGATGTTAAGAAAAGTGTGCAGTTGGCAATTTAATAATTGTCATTAATGCTAATAATGATAATTATGCTAACTTTAGTATTAAATCTTCTTGTATTTTCAATGTTTCTTCTCTTTCTTCTTCTGTTACATCCTACAATTAGAACATTGAAGATGACAACCAGTAATGCAGTACTATGAGATATATGTAATATCGTCACAGGTTAATTTAATATTTGAAGAATTAACAGTTCAAAATTCATACTAGTGACACAGAGTTTGTATGGTGTTTAAACTGAATTACAATTTTTAGAAAGAAGGAAAGAGAAATATGAAGCCTAATTTTCTAATCAGATTTTACCTTCCAAAAGATCACTGTAGAATCTGCTGCTCCAGTGACTACTGTATTTTCTGCTGTATTTGTTGTCAATGCCCAGATTTTACCATTATGATCATCATAAGATTTAATACATTCATTAGTTTTAATAGTCCATAATTTTAATACACCATCAGCACCACTAAAAGTTTAATAACAAATGATTTGAAGAATATTTCAAAGGGTTTTTGGTAATAGATATTGTTTTAGACTATTTCTTCATTGAATAAGAAGTTATAACTTATATAACTGCAATATGTCAAGTATTATAAAATTTAATGAAAACTGAGCTATTAATTCAGAAAGAATAGAAGATAATGGTATTTACCAGGATAATATTTGCATACCATTACTAATAAACATAGTTCTTAATACAGAAGCTGAATGACCTTCAAATGTCTACAAAAAACATAAGGGAACTATGTTCATAATATATATTCAAAGACAAGGGTAATTAAAGCCTAATTTTATCTTCTAAGGTTTCTACTTCTCTTGAAAAACATAAATCCAATCATCACAGTTCATCATGTGGTTTACAGATATAATATTTTCACTGTTAAGGGCCACACCTAAATACATCCTAATCCATTTTTGGATTGCTAGTTTTTTAGGATTTTCACCATGACAAAAGCCAAATTTGGTATCAATACAAAGCTGAACCATTAATGAGTTCACATGGACACATATTCTATGATGTCCTCGTGCCATATAATACAGTTAAAGAGTATGCTTTTCCCTGGTAAGTATTTTTTTGAATTGATGGTTTATCTTTGTATAAATACCAAAAGATATAAAGATAGCTTGCGATGCAAGGTAACATACGCCCACTGGCAGCTGTCAGAAATAATAAAACAGTCTTTAGTGACTAAAGTACAAATTTTCTCATATTGAAGAAATTATTTATGCTGAATAATTCCACGAAATTTTTTAAAATCAATATCAATAGCCCAAAGTGTTTACAAAGTCAAGGGCAATAATTCAAAAAATGTTCATCAAAAATATCTCTTGTTAGAACTTGTCAGATCTTATCAATTCCAATGATCACACCAAGTTTCATCAGAATCGGTTGAAAACTGTAGCTTCTATTGTGCTCACAAACAAATTTTGACACGTTTTTTCAAAGTCTAGGGCAATAACTCAAAAACCGTTCATCAAAAATGCATCAAGTTAGAACTTGTCCGAGATCTTATCAATTCCAATGATCACACCAAGTTTCATCAGAATCGGTTGAAAAATGTAGCGTCAATCCTGCTCACAAACTATTTTTAACAAATTTCGACGCATTTTAACAAAATCAAGGGCAATAACTCAAAACCCATTCATCGAAAATGCGTCAAGTTAGAGCTTGTCCAAGATCTTATCAATTCCAATGATCACTCCAAGTTTCATCAGAATCGGTTGAAAACTGTAGCTTCAATCCTGCTCACGAACTATTTTTAACAACTAATGACGCGTTTTTACAAAGTCAAGGGCAATAACACAAAAACCGTTCATCGAAAAAGCGTCAAGTTAAAACTAGTCCGAGATCTTATCAATTCCAATGATCACACCAAGTTTGATCAGAATCGGTTGAAAACTGTAGCTTCAATCCTGCTCACAAACTATTTTTAACAAATTTTGACGTGTTTTTACAAAGTCAAGGGCAATAACTCAAAAACCGTTCATCGAAAATGCGTCAAGTTAAAACTTGTCCGAGATCTTATCAATTCCAATGATCACAACCAGTTTCTTCAGAATCCGTTGAAAACTGTAGCTTCAATCCTGCTCACGAACAATTTTTAACAAATTTCAAGGCGTTCTAAGTCAAGGGCAATATCTCAAAAACCGTTCATCAAAAATATGTCAAATTCGAACTTGACTGAGATCTTATCAATCTAAAGCATCACACCAAGTTTTATCAAATTCATGTGGGCGTATAAAAATGGTGAAAACTCCTATATAAAACAACATTAAGTGTCTTGACCTAACCAGTGACAATATCACAAGGGTAGGGCTATAGTTGTCAGGCAAATCTAACAAATGAATATAATTTCAATAACGGCAATAATCAAATTATAGAAATAAATCATTACATACCTTCACGCATGAGAAATCTTGTAGAGACCATATTTTAATAGTAGAATCAGCTGACCCAGTTAAAACACACTGAAATTATACAGTATAAAATATTCAAAAGTATTTGGAATCATTGTGTCCATCAAGCTCGCTGACTATGACAGGTTTTCTATACGCAGATTGTGCTTGTTGCTGAAAGTCTTAGAAAAATGTTAATTTTAGAAGATAGCTTGCCAGGCAAGGTAATATACGCCCAATGGCAGCTTTGATTTTAAATAAAAAACATTTGGCAGTACAGTAACAATTAACAGTATGAAATATTCAACCTTCAGACATACACTTCTTTTGAACTTTTTGAGGCGATAGTATTCTTTTACGTGATACTGCATAATATTACCAAGTTTTATCAAAATCTGTCAAGAATTGGGCCTTCTAGAGTGTTTACGTGCTAAAAATTGAATGCGTTTCAAGAAAAATAAGGTGAAGTAAATGTACCTGATCAACAGGTGAAAACTGAATACACCAAACTCCTCTTCTATGTCCTCTCATAACACCTAATAATGACAGGTCTGATTCCCTCCAGATCTACAATACAAATTACTAAATAGCAGTAACTCCAAAATGTTGAATTTTAGATTATTTATTTTTTCAATGTAGCATGATATTCTCTATCTATTGCTTGTTACCAAATAACTGCATCTTTATTAGATTTTTCAAAAAAATGATAACTGTGTTGGGGTAAAATTAAAATTTAGCTAATGATTCAAGGCATAACACAGTAAGTGTCTCATACTGTATTTTGATCTAAGAATCTTTGGAGATACAGCTTATAGAAGTAGCAATTTCTGGAGATACTGCCTTTTCATGCATAACCCTTTAGATGTAATAATCCCTGGAGATACCCTCTTTTAATTATTTCCTTTTTGGAGATACTGCCTCCATCATTGGAGATACTGTGTTTTGCTTATTGGTGATTGGTCCATAATCAACCAATAGAATTGTACAGTTTTCCCGCTGAAAAATATTAGTTCACAAATATTTGGGCCATGCTTCTCATATTATTTTTAAAAAATGTCACTGTCATTGAAGTTGAAGACACTATTAAAGCACCTGTTATTTAATTTAATCTTGCAAAAGATAAGCAAGAATTAAGCCTTGAACATGACGTAACTGCCAATATTGTACCTTGAAGAGACACCGGAAGTGATGATAAAAACTTGGACTCAGATCCGGACTATGAACCCACTGACAATGTTTTAAATGAGAACAATGAAAGCTGATGAAATTTGTGAGAATCAGTCTAGAACTGGTAAAACCAAAAAGAAAAAAAGTTGTCGAAGAATTGAACATCAGCTTTTGTAAGCTTGGTGAAGAGAAATGTGAAACGTGCAAAATTTAAAGAACATAAGAAGGTGCATGAAACAGAAGATGATGAATGCGAATTTTGTCTGATGATAAAGGAACACATTTTGAAAGCAAGAAAGGCGAGAAATCTGTATCGTGCAGATGTTGATAAGACTGATTTGCCAGAGTACGCCATAACATCAATTGACATGCAAAAGGTTGTAATGCTTCCTTGCATGCCAGGATTCAAACCTGCTGATTTTACAAAACGTATTGTAGCTTTCCATGAAACTTTTGCACCCATCAGAGGTTTAAAAGATGTAGATCCAAAGAACAAGAATATATCTTAGGATTGGCACGAAGGAATCTCTGGGAGGAAAGCAGAGGCTGTGGTTTTAACATTTTATGTTCGGCACAAAATAAGAATTGGTGCCTTACACTGTATTAGCATAAATTATTAATTGCGACAAAACAGATTCTGAAGACATTAATTTGAAGTATTTTGAAGCTGGTCACACTTTCATGAGTGCTGATGCCGTACATGCTGGTGTGGAATCACCTGGTGGCTGCATTTTTGATTTTCGTGATTTTATTGATGTTATTTCTGAATCAAATAGTGGGAAGATGGATGTCATTGAAATAAAAGTTGATATGTTCAGAGATTTCAAATCCGAACATTCTCAAGCTAAACTGAACACACCAGGACGACCCAAACTATCTAATATTGTTGAATTGAAATTTGTTTGGGATTAAAGGGCTTCAAAATAAAACAGATTTCGATGATGAATTTTCAAATTCTAATTTCCTTCAGATAAATGCAAAGCTTTTGATTCCTCAGGGCAGAACAGCAGCATGCGGTATTAATACAGGAAAGAAAGTTGATATTGTTTCCAAATTATGCCCGAAACCAGAAGAAACTTTTGGTCCAATTTAGAAGAGAGTGACACAATTACTGATTTAGTAACAGATCTGTAATGGACCCACAAACGGATAATTTGGACAAACCTAAAGTTCTTTCAATGTGTTTCATTTTAGTTTAGTTTAGAATGTTATAGTTAAATTGCATCAATTACTTAATTCTACTAGGCTTAGTATCCTAAACGTAGATTGAACGAGTGTGCTCCTGTATAAGGCATTTTCTGGGAAATATAAGTATATTTTTATACATTCTTTTCTGTCATCAAATGTAGAACACATAAATCACTAATAAAGTCATCATAAAGTTGTATAATATAGAATAAGTTACTTTCATTACTATGTTCTATTCTGGGTTATAGAATGGCAGATACTTTGTTTTAATTCATTAATCATGTATTCAACAAAAGAATTAAACATTATTTCAAAACATGTTATCATTTCTATCTCAAATCATGGTATTCACATCTTCACTACACCAAAACTGTGAAATTTCTGCTTTGAAGATAGCTTGCCAGGCAAGATAATATACGCCCACTGGCAGCTTTGATTTTCAATAAAAATATTTAGCAGTAGTTACAATCACCAGTATGAAATATTCAACCTTCAGTCATACACTTCTTTTGAACTCTTTAGGGCGATACTGAATAATATTGAGTATGAGTTATTGCCCTTGTTCTTGAAATGTGTTCAATTTGTAACTCGTGAAAACTCTAGAAGGTATATATTCAATCTTCAGCGCAATACTGAATAATAAAACTAAGTTTTGTCAAAATCTGGCAAGAATCATGTCCTTTATTGTTTAAGAGCTAAAATTTGAAACTGTTTTCAAGAACTCCTATGAAACATATTTCGATTTTTTTGATTTTCGATAGGGTTCATCCGTGGGTGATAAAAACAATTTCACCAAGTTTCATCACAATCTGTCAAGAATTGAGCCTTCTAGAATGTTTATGAGCTCAAAATTTAACATGTTCTCAAGAACATCGGCGATAACTGATACTAAATATTTTTAGATTTTTCTGATTTTCAATAGGGATCATCCATGGGTGATAACAAACACTCATGCCAAGTTTCATCAAAATCCACCAAGAATTGTGCTTTCTAGAGTGTTTACAAGCTAAAAGTTGAACGAGTTTTCAAGAACAAGGGCAATAACTCATACTAAATATTTTCGATTTTTCTGATTTTCAATAGGGTTTATCCTTGGATGATTACAAACAGTCACTCCAAGTTTCGTCAAAATCCGTCAAGAATTGTGTCTTGTAGAGTGTTTACGAGCAATTGTGGATGGACGGACCGACAGGTGGCGTGGGCGTATAAAACAGAACAGTTTGATACCTAACAAGATACTATGTGATAATAAAATAATTCATAGTAAGCCATTACACAAAAACATGATTTTCTCCAAATGACATATTTGGGGTTACTGCTATTTGTTTTGACAGGGATAATACTAATCTACATTTTTTATATACTTTGAAAAATATACAATTTTTATCATGAGAATTATAATAGAAATATTATAACAGAACTTGAATCTTGTTGTTACTATATTGCCAGATTGCTCTACAATTGATGTATTGGGCACTATTTTAACAGTGAAAATATATATTTGTGAATTATAATATAATAAGCTATGAAACCAATGACATAAGAATCCTCTTAAAGGAATACTAAGAATTTAAAACTTGTCTTATAAGAGCATATATTCATCAGTAGATATAGCTGGTGATCCCTGGTGTCATAAATAACATAACAGGATCCTTATATAATCCGATAAATCAAAAAAACTTAGTATTTATGCAATGAACCATTGAAAAACGCTTAATATTAACATTGAGCGTTTTTCAATAATTACTTAATTATATGAATTTTCCAGATTTATCAGGGATTCTGTTGTAACTTTATGACACACTGATGAATATATACTCATATTGGCCATTCTTGAGAACTTAAATTTTATGTTCATTGTAAGATGTTGTATCACTTTAAGATACTTGAACTAGCCTCAAATCCCATATTGATTGTAATAAGACTAGTAAATATCATGTCTTGGAATCAGAAATATGTAAGTCTGATAAAATTGTAGCAAGTAGTGACTATGTTAAAATATGACTAACCTTGGCAGTTTTATCAAGAGAACAAGTAGCTATAAACTTATCATTAGGTGAAATATCTATAAAATTAATATCTTTTTCATGAGCAATATCAGTAGCTACTGCTTTCAATGTGACAACATCTTTTCTGGATTCATCAAGGGCTGGTAATTCCCACTTTTTTAATGTATTGTCTTCACTGCCACTAATAACAAAATCAGCTTTGGTCCTAAAATTTAAACAACATAGATCTACACATTGGGCTTACCTATGTATATGCACATACCTTGTACCTTGAAGAATGTTCTTACATAAACGCAGTAACAAAATATTCAATTTCTTTGCTGTAATAGTACAATTGACTTAATTTACAATAACAAAATAATATAATAATAATAATAAAATAATTACTTTGCTAGACAGACAGCACCTACAGCTTGTATATGGCCTGATGCAATTGCAACACATGTAATGTTACCAATATCTTCATCAAATTTCCATACTCGGATCGTACTATCCTGTAATATTGTGATGAATACATTATTCAGATCTGATATCTCATACAATTTCTCTTTGACCACCCTACTACAATTGTGGGATTACAAATATAAGAAATAATAAATTTCCATACCTTGGCACTAGAAGCAAATAATGCTGATTGTTTGTGGACTGATATATTTAATACAATATCTGTATGACCAGTTAATATCTGACATTTCCAACTAGACCTTTCATAAACTTTAATTTTTTCACTATTAGTTATAACTATAATATGACTGTCATCTTTACCAATAAACTGTAGGTCTAATACCTCATCCATGTAACCAGCAAACTGTAGTAGTAAAAATAATGATAAGAATTACTTACTAACAGGATTTGACTGATTGTATAAAAGATACATATCAAATGAAGAAATTGTAGAAGAGTTAAATGTATTTTTTTGGCATTGTGCTCTAATGTCCATATATATTCAATTAATTGACACTTGTGATAAGTTGTGAGTCAATTAACAGACTATTTTCCATCAAATTTTCCTTACGTTTAAAATGCACATACTAATGATATAAAAGGTCAATATTGGGCTATTTAAACACAATTCCTATTCCTATTCATCATAACGTAATTTTTTTTCTAAAAATCAACAAACTTTTAAAATATTTTTGTGTCAAATTATTTCTTTAATATGTAAGTATATAAAATATAAGTACTGACCTGTTTTTGAATAGTAAAATCTTGTGTATCAGCGAGAATAATATTATGATCATATGTTACTACAATAAACTGTTTTAATATAGGATGATATAGAGCCTGTGTTATAACTTGTTCATCTTCTGACTTTCCACCATCAACAGTTACTAATTTCTTACTATATACACATTTACCATTATCATGTTGGTATATACTTAAATTACCTATAAATATACCACAAATAATAAATTTACAGAAAAAAACATCACAAATTTTCAAACATTATCAAGTCAAAAAAAAATTCAGATATTGCTGATTCTGCTATTGAGGATAAACTAGATAACAGATGGTTGGATGCTTGGTTGCAGATAATCAGAATCATATTAGCTACTTTTTCTCCAGTTCATTTTGGTACCTACCTTTATTACCAGCTGTTATATAATATGTAGAATGATCTTGTAATTTGAATATATCATAATCTAATATGTCAGGGTTGACTGGAATTATTGATTCTAATCGCTGTAAAACAATAAAACAGCATTTATTATTTAAATTTAACAAACTGACAGTACAATATGGTATAGGTAAATTTCCAAATTATTTTACTTGTCACTGAATTTTGCCTTTATGCAGTAACAATTTTTGATACTTGACAAGCTTCTTTCTATATCTTTTCAGCAAAGAAGAACACTCATGTTCAAAATTTAGTCTGACCTTTTTGCAACAGGATCAATACGTAAAATGCTCAATTTTTATTGTCATTAATAAGAAACCAGTAAATGTTCAAAATGTGTACTTTACCTCAAATACAGGTAGTGTTTTACTGACTTTCAATTCTACCATATTCCATGTTATTACTACACTATCCCTACCAGTACTAAAACAGATAGTGTTATGTTACTGACTAATTGGATTGAAAATATCAATTCAATTCAAATTATAACAATAATAGCAAGATATATTTTAGTAACTAATAGTTGAGATTAGTTGTTTCAGAAATAATAAAAACCTACCTATACATAGTATTACCATCTGGTGTAAATATTAAACTAGTAACAGTACTATAGTGGGCTGATATCTCTGATACACAAGTACTAGTCATTAAATCCCAAATACGTATCAAATTATCATCACTGGCTGATACCAACTGTAAGCGTGACTTATCAGGATTAAATTCCATTGCACTGAAAATACAATGATGAAAGTTAATTGCTGTAAGACTTTTAAACAAAAGAAGAGAATCATATATTGGAAAGAAGCCCAATAGAGTGAAAGACTGAACATCACTGAACAAACAATCAACAGCGAGAAAAAGGGCTCAGAAATGTGTGAAGATAAAATTCATCTAAGAGTTTCAATTCCAAATTTAAAATATTAGTTTTGAGTCGGTCGGTTTGGAGAAGAAGGCTTTAAAGGTGGCAATTTTACATTCTGGTGCCTTTGTTTGTTTGTAATATGAGCCTTGTTCTGGATGAAAGTGTGAATAAGGCCTATAGGAAAGTAAATGAGTCAAGAAAACACACCAAATGGCATCTATTCATACAGATTACAGTAGTAAAAGAAGATATTGGCCAGACTTCAACACAGCTAATAAATTTCTAGACAATCAAAAAAAATAAAATAACAAACCATATAACTCCTTTATGTCCTGTTAAATCATGGGTACAATGTTCCTGTACAATATCCCATACTTTAATAGTTAAATCTGTACTACCAGTAGCTAACAATGTAGATGTCTTATCCATTGCCATAGACACTATAGGAGTTCTGTGGGATGTCTAAATGCAAGAAGGTAAAATGCTATAAACCATTTACATTAACTGGAGTTTCATAGATCAGTTGCTCTCTGTTTATTCACTTGACTTGAGTTATAACATTGTCAAAGAAAAATATACGCTCACTGGCTGCTTTGATTTTAAATAAAAATATTTGGCAGTACAGTAACTATTACCGGTATGAAATATCCAACCTTCAGTATTACGCTTCTTTTGAACTCTTTGGGACGATACTGTATAATATTACCAAGTTTAGTCAAAGAATTGGGCTTTCTAGAGTGTTTAGGAGCTAAAACTTGAATGCGGGCAAGGGCAATAACTCAAACTAAATATTTCGATTTTTCGGATTTTCGATAGGATTCATCCTTGGGTGATTACAAACACTCACACCAAGTCTCCTCACAATCCATCGATAATTGTGCCTTCTGGAGTATTTAAGGGCTAAAAATTGAACATGCTTTAAAGAACAAGGGCAATAACTCATACTAAATATTTTTCGATCTTTCTGATTTTCAAACACTCACACCAAATTTCCTCAAAATCAGTCAAGAATTGTACCTTCTAGAGTGTCTACGAGCAATTGTGGACGAACGGATGGACATAAGTGACAACAATATATGCCCTCGACTTCATGTGGGCGTATAAGAATCAAAATAAATAAAACTTGACTAAATAAAAAGTATAAAAAAATACTTAAGTTAACTGCTAGAATCTAGCTATGCAACCAATAGGTGTTCCATGAAATATCCTTGAAGGTTTTAATTATTTCAAAGAGGAAAAGGATTTAAACGGAAAATGTCTCTCACCCTCCAGGATCGAACAAGCTTTCTCTCCCTCCAATGCCATTGTCTCAACAAGAGGTTTTGACTGGCTACAATAAGGTACTGGAATTCAAAAGAATGCAATTGTAATATATAAAAATATTGGCATGGGGTGTCATTAATAACTTTGATTAACTCTCAAGATTAACAGAAATTTAAATACCACATATTACCGGAATTACTCAAAGCTAGTGCAAAAAACTAATCTGGCCCCAATTCAAACAGAATATTATTATTATCTTACCTCATTATCAGGGCTGAGTATAAAATTAGTAACGATTTCTTCTTCCTAATGAAATCAATCAAAATACAATAAAAGTTAAATTTGATTTTTTAACTATCATATAACCCAATTTTAGTGAGTCTATAAAACTTTTACATTGAATCCATGGTATCAAGAAACTCACATAGAACACATTTACATGCAATATAATAAAAGATAGCCTTGCGAAGCAAGGTGACATACACCCACCACCAGCTTTGATAGTAAGTACAAATCATTGTTTGTAGCCTGTACAGTGAGCTAATTGTTAACAGATGGACGGATGACAATATGCTTCCATACTACGATTGGGCATATAAAAATCTAAAGAATCCATAAAGAATTGTTGCTTAAAGAGTGATTGCACTATATAGCTAATAGTTGAAAAGTTTGGTGAAAAATCATCAGATCATCATCGATAGGAATCATCTTCATAATGACGTTGAACCACAAATAAAAAAAATCCACAAAGAATTATTGCCTGTAGAGTGAGCATGAGATGCACAATATAGCTAATAAAACGCGATCATTCGGTAAAAAATTATCACATCATTGCAAAAATAGATAGGAATCATCTTCATAATTACATTGACCTTTGGCCAAGCCACATGTGAATAAACGGACAAATTATCAGATCATCACGAAAGTCGATAAGGATCATCTTCATAATGAGATTGACCTAGTTGCACAATATAGCTAATAGAGTGAAAACGCTCCGTCGGACACAATATTTCGGTGAAAAATGATCAGGTCATCATGAAAATCGATAAGGATCATCTTAAGAATTACATTGACGCACAATAAAAATTAAAAGAATCCATACGTAATTGTAGAGTGAGCACGAGCTGCACAATACAGTTAATAGAGTCAAAACACTAAGTCACACACAATGTTCAAATGTGAACAGACAAGACAGACCGCCAGGGTGATTACAATATATATTTGTGGGTGTATATAAATAAAAAGAAGAAAAGGTAAAAATAAATCACACGATAACATGCAAACAGTAGGTAAAAAGTCAATACAATCAAAGTACCGGTACTATGGGTTCATTTCAGGACTAATCCCTTTAATAAGGGGATTAGTCCTGAAAAGCAGCCAGATTTACTCTAATTGTATCTAATTGCACATTATCGTGAGATTTTTTTTTTCCTGCAATATAACCATAAATACTCTCTTCAGACAAATAAATTAGGTCATACTTCAGATAGAGTTGCAATTATTTGCATTCATGGGAACTACTGGATTTACTGGGTCAGAAATGTTCACAACAAGATAGATATCCTGTAACATATAGATAATATGAATCTTTGGATTTTAAGACAAATTTTAGAAATGCAAGACTAACCTTGGAAAATGAAGCTACTAAATTACTAGATTTAATGTCAATCATTTGAACTTTCTGACCACATCCACAAAACATGAAATCTCCATTTTTATCTATCTGTGAAAATTAAAGAAAAATAGTATATAGATAAACTAGAAGAAATTGTGACTTCTACAGTGTTTACAAGCTAAAAATTCAAATGGATTTCAATACTTTTTAATTTTGATAGGGTCCATACTCCACTTATCGCCTCCTCCTTAATATCAATTCTTATAATTATATCTTTTACATAATTCTGAATTATTTTTAATACATACCTGAATTTTTCCTTCTGTATAAAAAGCTTGTAATTTTGTATCAACTTTAAAACTAAAGTGAAAAGAAGGAATATTTCAACTTCAAAATAATACTGATAGTCTTAAGATTGGTGTTTGGTTGATGAAAATCTCAACCAGTAAAAAACTAATTATTTGAATATATGTAAATAGTTTTCAAAAGTACCAGAGATGTACGAAATCGCATAAATCCTTCAAAAATATCTCAAACTAGAAATTTTCTTTCCTATTTCTATAATGTCTTTTCTAAATAGATGGAAGTGTCTCAAGAAAAGATGTCATTTTAACTTTCGAACGTTTTTTGTAACATAATATTAAATTACAGTCAAGTAACCTAATTTCTGTAAGACTAATTTCGTGCATATCTAGAAATGAAAAATAGGTGCGACCTAGCATGACCTCTGCATTTGCATGTTTTGATAAACATAGGTTATCTTTACAACTTCAATGAAGAATTTTCCTATCGGTTAAAAGTAATGTCAAATTCTTTTATCTATTTCTAATATGTACAAAATGGGAGTAAGGTCTCCATCAGACGTCAGTAAACAAGTCAGAATTTACGTCATACATGTCTGTAAACACGTCGATCGATGCTACCTTAAAAACTTATAACTTATGTTTATAAAGATAGCTTGCCAGGCAAGGTAACATACGCCCACTACCAGCTGTCAGAAATGATAACAAAATATTTAGTGGCTTTATAATGAATCTTAAAATCATCTGTAAGTCAAGGCAAAAATAGCGATGCCATCGTAATACGCCCACATTTGTAATGGCAGCTAATTTGTCCGGGAGGTTGACAAGAGTTATCAGTAAATGAATGTTTCTGAGTGAAATTTTCATATTTCACGGGTTTTGTTTACAGCTTACAATTCACGAACAAGGGCAATAACTCATAGTAAATATTTTTCGACTCGTCTGATTTTCAATAGGGTTCATCCTTGGGTGATTACAAACACTCACACCAAGTTTCGTCAAAATCCATCAAGAAACCAGCTCTCTGTGGCGTCCACTAACAATTCAAGAACAAGGGCAATAACTCATAGTAAATATTTTTTTCGAATCGTCTGATTTTCAATAGGGGTTCATCCTCGGGTGACTACAAACAAACACTCACATCAAGTTTCGTCAAAATCCATCAAGAATCCAGCTCTCTATCGTGTCCACAAACAATTGTGGACAGACAGACAAGGACAGACAGACAGGGGCGACGACTATATAAATACCTGAAACAGTTCATAAAATTAAACGGATACTTTGTCTTAAGATGAACATTAAATATTAATTTTGCTCAAATTTGGCCAATAACAGTATATATCCATCAGTGGACTTACCTGGCTAACTATACTATACATCAAAATCCCTCAATGAATGAATGAATCCAGTAGTTTCAAGCAAGGTAAAATGTATTAATGTATACTTTGACAAATACAAAATGGCGGATTTCAGTTATTACCAAACGTCACCATTTTTTATCGGCCGAACTTCCTTATAATCCCAAGCGGTAATCAGAATTCAAAGTGTCATCTGCTAGAATGTAGTCCAACGAATGAAGTCACGTGATCAACTAGCGGTTTCCTTGTCAGCAGAAAATTTCTATGGAACACAAAGTGGACCATATTCTTATGTTGTTTCAGTGACTTATAGCAATAAATCATGCTACGTATCTTATTTTGTCAGTCACTATTTTTTTTTTTAAAACGTGGTTCTTTGAAGGAATTGTCACTAGTTATAATGAATTGATATTATAGATAAATACTAAGAGAAGTTAATTATACCACCCGGTATCCATACAACGTGTTTTCCTCGACTTATTTATAGATCAAACATTGTACACGAAAATAGGTGACGCATTCTGCCACCGTTGCTAATGAAATATGGGCATATATATAGAAACTAGAGTCCACACTTATCATGTGACTCCCATTGGCTCAACGTTAAAGATTCGTGCTGTCATGAAGCGACGTCAGCCATCATGATTCCGGGGAGTTTCCGGAGTGAATACCAGGATGTACCGTTTGTTTACAATGGACGATCTTCGATAGACAAACTTATTTCATGTCTATTTCCCTTAGATGAAAATTTAAAAAAAAGTTTCATTTCATTATTTCGGAGAATAAAGCTTTTTTCTATCTATTCGTCTATTTCATTATATTAATTTTTAGGTTATGAAGAGTTAATAGTCTTAAAGTGCCTGGTGGGTAAAGTTCATTTTGCTAAAAAAGAGAAAATAGGCACTGACTTATTAGGCCTAGGCCTATACGAAAGAGGTTATAAAGCTAGGCTTTTATTAATTCAATAGATAAATGATTTAAAACGCACAATAAGTTAGATGGCTATTGCCTCTGTAGCATGAATGAACTTGACTCCCACTTGATTCCTGTCACGCAGCCTACTTTTGCTGGTATCTCATAGGCAATATGTCTTTAATTCATTTATACATTCATTTTAAAGATTGGTATGCTAGGTCCATATTATCCTTAGGCCTATTTGTTTACAGTAAAGTTCTCTAGATTTGTTAACAACAAAAAAACATATAGGCCTATACCCACCTCTAACATAATCTTTATTGTGGAAATGTTCACTACAAACTACATGATGTTTACTTGGAACAAAATTTTCTCTCCAGATATTAGCAACCAATTTAGCAGATAATTCTTGGTCTTTAAGTGGAAATCTGGATTGAAACATATCTCATTATTCAGTATCGATCGTATAGCCTACCAGTAGCCTACATACATAGGCCTAGCCTTGGCCTATTAAGACTTATGTTTTATACCTTACGCTTACGTTGTTGTGCCTTCAAAAAAGTCCCAGATACTATACGAATTGCAACCTGAGGTAGAAACATGAAAGGCAGATTCATTTATCTATTTATCTGTTTATTTATTTGATTGTTTAATTAGGCTAGGTGACGAAGAGGAATTGATTCGAGAGCTGCAGGTTTGTGTAAAGGGTTAGGCCTAGGCCTAATAAGCCGTAGGTACTAGTTGTCAGGGAGTTGAGGCCTATAATATAAAAGATACTTTCAGACTTTTAGATATAATCAAACATATATAAACCGATGGCTACATAGCCTAAACATTATAGTTATAGGCAGTAGCAGTGGGTCAATTCTATAGAGTCTATAGACCTAGAGCCTAGACGTCTAGTTTCTAATTCTAGCCTGTAGAGCCTTCATTGGCTTCGTCATAGAATAGGCTAGGCCGAATTTGTTTGAAAGAGGGATTAAATCATGATAATAGACTTGCCTATGAAATGCTAAGCCATTCCCTTTCTTTCTCATGTTAGAACACCCGTAACAACGGCAACTTTCAGGCATATTGTGTACAAAAACAATAAGTAGGTCAAGCTTTAACGTCAAGTCAAGTCAAGTCTCACGATGGATCAGTGTAGACTCTAGTTTCTATATATAACTCTATGAATATGGGTCAAAGTGAAGGATTCATAAAGAAACTCGAAATAAACCAATTTTAATTATTTTGTAGAATATCCGAGGAAACATTTAAGACATTTTTTCCTTTTTTTTAACTTTGACGAAATTTGGTGTTGAATCCTTCTGTCCACGAAAATAAGTTAGACCACTGTAGTACCAGGACCTATTTTTCGTAAATTTTCCTCGATTTCGTTTTTTTAGAAAATATTTTCATGATCTATGAGTATGAGTACAAAAAAATACAAACCTTGATTTTAACTGTGTCATCTTTATAAATTACCGTTGTTATATGGATTATATACACATCAATGTTTCTGATAAGTTTGACAAAGAAGCATTTTATGATCAGTAATAAATTTGTTTATAAAATTTATCAACACGTGAAAATAACTTCCTGGTTAGCAAGGCTCGCACTAAATTGATCACAGCATTTGATTGGCTAGAATGACTACTCCCGACAACATTTAGTTTCTCCATACAGTTCTATGGTTTCTCACTATGGTTTCTCTCTATTAGGGTGAAAATTAATTTTTACAATTTTGCCCTTCAAAGGAACACAGCATATAATACAAAAGAAACTAAAAAAAATAAAACTTCAATCACAAAAGCAGAAGAACTTTTAACAGTTATATACATTTATCATTCATCTCATTATGTTTTTTTTTCAAGAAAGAAAAGGAGTCAGGGCTACCTCATACGTCAGAAAAGAGTTGTTTTTTAAATTTTGCCAAAACATTGATTTTCTTTAACAATCAAGGTAAATAGTTCAATAAACAAGGGCCTTTTCTTATATATGGATTTAACAGGTTTGGAAAAAGGAATTTCTGGTTAATGGATGCATATGGTGTGTTTTATATTTTGAAGATAAACTGGACAATTACGATTTGCTATTTTAAAGAGAAAAATAGCTTGCTAGGCAAGGTAATAAACGCCCACTGGCAGCTTTAATTTTGAATAAAAATATTCCGGTAAGAATCATGCCTTTTAGTGTTTTAGAGCTAAATTTGAAAGCGTTTTCAAGCACAAGTGCAATAACTCATACTAAATATTTTTCAATTCTTCTGTTTTTCAATAGAGTTCATCCTTGGGTGATTACGAACATTCACACCAAGTTTCATCGAAATCCGTCAAGAATTGTGCATTCTAGAATGATTCCGAGCTAAAAATTAAACGCGTTTTCAAGAGCAAGGGCAATAACTCATACTAAATATTTTTTGATTCTTCTGATTTTCAATAGGGTTCATCCTTGGTTGATAACAAACACTCATGCCAAGTTTCTTAAAAATCCATCAAGAATTGTGCCTTCTAGAGTGGTTACGAGCTAAAAATTGAACGCGTTTTCAAGAACAAGGGCAATAACTCATACTGAATATTTTTTCTATATTATTGTCCTCTTATTTGACGCTTCGGCTTACTGCCTTCTTGAACCATCAAACAGTTTGAGTATTCTAAACTTTAAATAGTTAGTAAAATAACGGAATAAGATGTGATCAAGATCTATTTTGGGTGTTTTTGAAGAAGGCAGTCCTTGGGTGATTACGAACACTCATGCCAAGTTTCGTTAAAAGCTCTCAAGAATTGTCCCTTTTAGAGTGTTTACGAGCTAAAAATTGAACGCGTTTTCAAGAACAAGGGCAATAACTTATACTAAATATTTTTCGATTCTTCTTATTTTCAATAAGGTTCATCCTTGGACGGACCGACGGACATGGGTGACGGCAATATACGCCCCTCATTTCATGTGGGCGTATAAAAATGTATTTATTGACTAGATGACGTTTTAGAACAGTATGTGGATAAGGTTTAATGGGAAGATGACAGAGGAGAAGGTTTCAGTACTGTTTTATTATTAATAAGCCTAAAAGACAATTTTTGAAGTCTATTAAGGGCTGCTAAAGAATAATTATTACAAGTATTCCAAAAGGGTGAGCAGTAGGCCTAATCATTGTGGGACTGAAAATCAACGAAATAGAATAATTTAATAAGTTTTGAAGGAAGGAGAGGTTTAATCTTGCACATTTTACAAATATAATTATAATTAACATGTTTATTCGAATTAAAATTTTGATCCAAAATAAAACCCAATAGTTTAAATTCTGTGACATTTTGAATTTGAGAATTCAATAGTTGTAAAGAAAGATAATTTCCTGGAATCTTTAATTGATGATTTGAGCCAATTAACATAGGTTTTGTTTTCGATTGATTTATAACCATAGAATTATCATGACACATTGAACGATTTTATTAGTTTCTGATTGAAGAACAGAGTTTAAAGAGGAAATATCTAAAGATGATGAATATATTGTAGTATCATCAGGAAACAAATCACAGTTACACGTAAGATGAAGTGGAAGACCATTTATAAAAAGATTGAATAACAAAGGTCCTAAGATAGATCCTTGAGGTACACCAGAAGTTATACATTGAAATGTCGATTGGTTTTTGTCCAATGGAGGTACACTGGTTTCTGTTAAGGAGGTAGGATTCTAAAAAAGCCAGAAGATTATTCGAAAACTTATATAATTTTAATTTTTGTAAAAGAATATTATGATTTACCATATCAAAAGCTTTACGAAAATCGAAAAATATTAATCCAGTAAGCCTGCTACTATTGAGTGAATCATAGATATTTTCCGTTATATCGGTGAGTGCTGTGTGGCAGGAACTGTTTGATAAAAAGCCAGATTGTTTTGCATATAAAAAGTTATGAGTAGTTAAATAGTTGTTGATATGGAAATGAAGATGTTTTTCAAGTGGTTCAGAGACAGCTTGTAGAATTGATATAGGTCTGTAATTGCTTGCCAAACTTTTATTACCAGATTTATAGATTGGCAATACTTTTGCCTGCTTCAAGATAATATTCCTATCAATACACAAGTTAAATATAAAAGTGAGAAAATTGCTCAAAGCACTAGCACCAACGTTCACAAAATAATCATTGACACCATCAAGACCAACAGCTTTTGATGTGTCTAAATTAGAAAGATATTTAAAAACATCAGTAATATTCATAAAAGGTATATGACAAACAGCAGTTTTGGACAAAATGCGACTATTGACAAAATCGTTTATAACACGAGCATTAGTTGTACTTAATGAATTTGGTGCATTACTTAATAAATTTTGAGCAACATCAATAAAATAATCATTAAAAGTTTCCGGATCAATACGAGGCGTAGACTGTGGACTACTATTGCCAGCTGAATTATTTATCGCTTTCCAAATTTGTTTACTTTTTTTTCTATCTGATACTAAAGTTTTTTAAGTATTTCCTTTTACTGGACCTTATTGCAGTTTAACTGCATTTCTAACCTTTTTGTATTGAAGGTAGTTACCTTTTTTCTTTAGATGATCCCGTTAATTAATTAATTCCACGCAGGTTTAGAAATGTTTTGGACACGTTTTATTCGTATGGGAGCAGGTCTATTTAGGATTGGATTTAATAATTCATAAAAAAAAACTGAAAGAGCTATATTTGGATCACAATAATTATAAAGAATGTCAAAAGGAGCTGCTTTTAAATCGTTCAAGAAAAATTCGTTATCTAATTTTTTTTAAAGACCTGTAAGTAATTGTTATATATTTATTTTTAGGGAAGCTGACACCTTTTTTCTGCCAAGTAAAGCATACTGGATAATGATCAGACGCTGCAAAGCAAGGGACTTTGGTTTCTTTAATATGACAAGGGTCAGAGACAATAATGTGATCTATGAAGGGTTGTGGTAAATTGATTTAAAGTGCCTAAAAGATCTGTCCAATATTTGTTTTGATTTTTAAATAAGTCGATATTTAAATCACCTAACATGCAAATTTCATTTTGAGTACTTCAAGCAGCTTCCATCATTTGTGAAAAAGAATCTAACCATCTTAAAGTGGAAGCTGGATTTCGATAAATACAACAAATGAAAATAGGTTTAGACTTTTTTAAGATTAATTCAATCCATATGCATTCAATATTACCATTTTCAAGATCAATTCTGCGATTGCAAGTAAGATTATCCTTAACATAAAGTAGCGTTCCAGAAGAACTTAAATTTGAACGCTTTCTGAAAGGTATATAGTATCAGGGAATTATTAAATCATTGTCGTCCACCGAAGTAGTGAGATGAGATTCAGAAATAGCAAATATATCCAAATTTTGTATGAATAAATTCAATTCTGTGAGTATATTAAAGAAATATCGAACATTTAAATGTCCCACGTCAATACCTTTCTTTCGAAGAATAGGATCCATTAAAGTTCTCTGATATATTTAAGTTTAACTAACATTAAAAATCTTAAACTATTTTTAAAAAAAAAAACCAACAACATCACATTCACTGCATGTACGTAAGTGAATTTGTATAAGTACTGAACCTGGGACTGGTTAGCAAATAATTGTATGACGGAGAGTAGACTCCCGGGAAAGGCACGCTAAGCCCACGTTGATAACTTGCAGAGTGTAAAAACTGGTGTGCCATAGCTAAATTCATCGACATGATACTTCCTGGGATTCGTACGCCTCTAGGATTTGGATGAACATCATCCGTGTGCAATACATTGAGAGCATGGTCAAAATGCACCTTAACATCAATAAAAACAAAATTGCGTTCTTTACAAATACCAAGAAGGAAATAATTAAATTTAGATCATTTTACATCAAACCACGTGGGTTTGCATCTTGGTAATACAGAAACAATATAAATCTTAAGTTGACTATTAGTCTGAATTATAGCTTTTAACATGTCAATGTAGTCATCTTCACAAGTTTTGTTTTCAAATTTAACCAAATCATTTCCACCGCAACACAAAACTATTCGCCTAAGATTTGGTTATCGGTCAATTAATTGTAGAATCCGAGGTTTAATTTCAGTGATGAGTCTACCAGAATTGGTGTCAATAATTCTTGATGATAAGCCAAACTAAGCAAGTTTTTTGGTAAAAGAGTAGAGGGCACTATACGTATTTGAATGACTAGTCTGTGAGGTAGAGGAGGCTTTATTACATCTATTGTGCTCACAAACAAGTTTTTACGCGTTTTTCATAAGTCAAGGGAAATAACTCAAAAACCGTTCATCGAAAATGCGTCAAGTTAGAACTTGTCCGAGATCTTATCAATTCCAATGATCACACCAAGTTTCATCAAAATCGGTTGAAAACTGTAGCTTCTATTGTGCTCACGAACAAATTTTGACGCGTTTTTACAAAGTCAAGGGCAATAACTCAAAATCATTTCATCTAAAATGCGTCAAGTTAGAACTTGTTCGAGAACTTATCAATTCCAATGATCACACCAAGTTTCATCAGAATCGGTTGAAAACTGTAGCTTCAATCCTGCTCACAAACTATTTTTAACAAATTTCGACGCGTTTTAACAAAGTCAAGGGCAATAACTCAAAAACCGTT